ATTCACTTTTTTTTTTTTTAATTTGCATATTGACAAACATTTTATTTTTAGTTTTAATTACAAATTATATTAATCGATTTAGTGTTTATTTTTATCATAAATTTTTAAATTGAATTGTTTTTGTTCTATAACTCGTCTATAAATTATTTTATGTATGATTTAATTTTGAATGTCGTATTTTTATAAAAATTTATAAAAAAAAATAATAGTTAACATGTAAAATGGATCTATCTACGGGAGATCAAATTTTGCTTATAATAATAGTTACAATTTTGCTATAAATTCAATAGTTGACTCTATATTGGAGTCAACCTCACAATGGAGTCAACCTCTTATACTTGACAAGTAAAAATACCATATTTTCTAATTTAATAAAAAAAAAAAATACAATTAACAACTACGTCACAATAAAATATCAAAATATTTTGTAATATTAATTTGGATTTGAAAAAAAAAGTCATAAAAGTTTGTAATATTATTTCAAATTACGTAAAATTTTCTTTGCATTCTTTTAGTTAAATACCGGAATTAATAATATTCTTTACAAATAAGAAGTTTTACATAATTTGAATTAATATTAAAATCATTTTGCACTATTTATTTTTTTTCAATTCAAACTTAAAAGTATAAGTGCTTTTATATTTTCATTGTTATTTTTATCAAGTAAAAGTAGATACACGAGATATTTCTGGCGCACCTATATAACTAGAGTTTGAGCAGCACGCTAATAAAACTCAGAACTCTACCCCTTTGTGAACTCTCTGACCTGGCAGAGCAAACTCATAAGAGAACTCAAAAGTTCAATTTAAGTTGGCTGGATGTTGAAATGATTTTGCAGATATACAAGAATGTCTTAACTATTTATTACACTGAGCTCCCCAAAATGAACTCCTAATTCAAATACAAAATAATCAACCTATTATCAGGACTCCAGTGCAAGTCAGTTATACATACGACACAAGTTTAATAACACTTCCGAAAAATTGTAAATAGCCAAACTAATACTACCGAAACACAATGTGTTCAAAATGTTCGAAACAAGAAAACCTTCAAAGACCATAATTGTGCACAAGTCACAGACTAGAAACATCGGAATAGTAAAGGAATAAAGAAAAACACGGGTTCTCACTTGAAGTAAACGAACAGCACAACCAGAAATTGGAAAACCTGCAGATAAAATCACAGGAAGTTATCCCCCAAACTTACGAACGTACAATCACAATACTACAACACAAAGTGGACATGTACACAGCTCAAATGAAAACAAGGCAATTCACTGAAATATCAGTTACAAATAACGCACCTTAACTTTTTGAGAAGTCTACTTCGTTAAAGTAATTTCACATTACACATTAAAGAGAGGACTTAGCTGAAAGATGATAAGAAAAAAAATAATAAAATAATAAAATACATTTCCAAGGTGAAAGCCGTCTCTGTTCCCCACTTGGGGTACAACGTACAAGTAGGGTTATGATGGGGTTGCCAACTCTAAATTTGGTTTTAGGTCTTACATCGTCTCTGATCCTTCTTTACCTTTTCGATTCAGATTTCATTTTGGGTTTATATTCTGGGGTTTCGTGCTGGAAGAATGCCTCTGGAGCATTGTTTTTGTTATCAATTTGTCAAAACAAGTTTCGTATGTCCGGTTATTTTTCATATCTTTTCATCAACCAACAATTTAACTATCGAGGAAAACATAGTTTAATGTAGCCTACATATTTATTGACAAAAAGTCAGACTACTGTAAATCTTCAATTAATCGTAAACTTTAAATGACATATACATACACCAACTCTATGACTAGATGGTAAACTGATCTTAGACATTCCTCATCTATAAGTAACATAATCAATAGATTCTTGTGCTGCAGCAACCAACTGATTAGACCTAAAATAATATTTCCTTCAAGAATATATGAAAAATGCTGTTGATAGTCTCTCTTCCCCTTAATCTCCCAAGCATACAAAGAAAAAAAAAAGGCTATTTTCGTCTCCCTATGTTGTGGTCTACTTTTCTTTTAAAGTAATATGAGAACCTTTTCATCTTGTATCTCTTTAACATTTTACGTAGTAAGTTTTTCACATTATCTCTATAAGAAATTTGCGTGCTAAGGAATAACCACACAGTAAGTTGCAACACCACATATTCCACTACAGTTCAATACGAAAATATAATAAAAATTGGACAATGGGAAACCATACATTTGGCTTCACATGACAGTTACAAACTCTTTTATTAGCTTACAAATAAATTCTCCAGCTTGAAAGAGCACAGGGGAAATATATTTAAAATCCACAAAAATATTGACTACCCAGTTAAAGTACTGCAAAAAAAATGCATGAATAACTTCAGTGGGTGGTGTCCAGTGTGGCTAGAGTTAATAGAAAATGGGAAAGGATTAGCATTTTCACTGTAGTGGTTGAAGGGAGTAAGAAAATTTAATGGTTGAAGGGAATAAGAAAAAGTGGTAATACAAAAATGAGTATCTTCTATAAAGGCAACACTACAACTCAACACAAGAGAGAAATAAAAGTGCAAATACCATTAACTACAAAGAAGAGACAAAACTTCATAATTTGCAAGGTTTCTCCTGCAAGAACTATTTGATAATCCATACTCCAGATCTATGATTGCATAGAGCAAGACACTGAACAGAAAGCTACTTGATTGGTATTGAAGGAAAAGACTAAATAGTACGCATATGATTATAAGATATCTTCACAAATTGTGTTCCTATAATGTCTACCAATGAAACATAAAATATAGAGATTTTGATTTCAACCGCTACTTTAGTGTAGAGGCCAAATCAGTTGGGGTTTAGTATTTGAGATGCTTCTGAAAAATTTAATCATAGTTAAACATTGAGATCAAAATTTCTGATTACACCAAATAGACAAGTAAAAGTATCTCCCCAAGCTCTCTACATCTAGTTCATGATTATAAACTTAAGATTGCATTCCGGCCGACCATAGAAACTGTGTGAGTTCCCTATCATTCACCAAAAAAGAAAAAAAAAAAATATCACTGAGGTTAATTAGATAAAGTCAGATGTCATTCTACAATTGATTTCTAGTCATCCAAAGCAAATTAGAGTCATTTCGAGGATTACTAGTCTATATTGTTACAAATGTGTTGCAACCCTTCACCAAATCTTCTTATTAAATCCCTATTATCCTTTCAAAATGCAGCATAAGCCTCCATAATAACTCAACAGCCCCCACTCATTAAATTCACATGTCTTAAGCCTCCATATTAACTCACCACCCCCCCCCTCATTATATTCACATTTCTTTCAGAACTATGATTGGTTAGTCCCAGTAAGTACGGAAATGGCTTAATCATCCCATAAAGCAAACAAAGCAAAACAGAAGGAAATAGAACCCGCGCTATCATTGAAGCAACCAAAAAAAAAAATTAAAAAAAATGCAATAATCGAATCACGGGAAACACAATTTCAGATGCCATAAACATCACCTGCTCACTTGGCAACCATGCGCGCGATGAAATCCTCGTACCGGATCTTGCCATCGGACCCGACATCCACCTCGCGGATCCACTCGTCAAACTCCGCCGGCTCCAGCTTCTCCCCGATGCTGGTGAGAATGTGCCTAAGATCCGATACCACGACGTAGCCGGTGCCATCCTTGTCGAGCACCTTGAACGCGTCGCGCAGCTGGCGATCGAACGGCTCCGGCTTGAGGTGCTTGGACATCAGATCGAGGAACCGCTGAAAATCGAACGGCGCGCTGAGCTTCTCCTCGGTGATTATGGACTTCAGCTGGGCCTGGGTAGGGTTTCCGCCGAGAGAACGCATCAGGATCCCGAGCTCCGACGGAGCAATCTTGCCGTCGCCGTCGGTGTCGAACAGGGTGAAGGCCTCCTTCATCGATGATATCTGATCGTCGCTCAGATCTTTCCCCATTTCCTGCAATTTTCTTTTTCCTTCTCTTTTCTCCCTATTGTGATTTTCTCAATTTTTCTTTTTCTGTGTGTTGCTGGAAAATGTTTTCTGTTCTTTGAATTTGTTTGAAACAAGGGGCTGAACGTAAATAATGAGGAGTCAGAGGGCTACTTTAGGATCCGAATAAAAGTGTTAGTGATACGTTACTCGGCCTGGCGCTTATAGGCCATAGGCCCAGTAATTATACTAAGCCCAATAAAAGGAGCGGGCTGTGAACTTGGATATGAGATCTATTTTGGGGCGAGCCTTTAGGCATATCATATGTCCATGAATAATCTAGAATAAAAGGAGTTAATTTAATTTGCAAAAAAAATATAATAATAAATTTTTATACAAAAATAATTATAAAAGTTTAATAGTTGTTGATATAAAGTGAAAGTATGTACGAAATTATAAATTAATATTATTTTTTATTAATTTAAATATATATCATTCTCAATTTTTACTTGGAATTGTTAAATGTAACAAGTTGCTCGTGAGTTTGTTGTGGTTCATAACGATTTGAGTTTGACTCGCTCGTTGAGGATAGCTAGGCATGATAAATATGAGTGTTATGTAGTTTTCAGAACTTCTATCATATATCGGCTCATTAAGGTTTAACAAGCCGAGCTCGTTTGTTGGCTCTTTAATTTACCTAGTCGAGTTTTGCTCGGCTCAATAAGTGATTCAACCTAAGATCGAGATCAGGAACTCGAACTAAGCTTGACTTGTTTACAACTCAAACATTATTACAATAGTATAAAGTATATACATGTTTTTTCTTTTTCTTTTTTTTTTCTCTATTATCTCTTTCAATATTTGATGACTTGATTAAAGTGGAATAAAGCTATATATAGATGAGAATAAAGAACCTTTCTTTTCTCTTGGCAAGAGGAAATGAGCAAAAGGTTATTTTATGTGGAAAGAAACTTGGAGGCCTTTTAATGTCATTTTCATTTTGGCCCACACTTAATCAAAATATTATAACGTGATTGTATTCCAAATACTGCATTCCAAGAGGGACATATAAAAAGGAATCTAGCATTTGATCTCCCTGATGGTTGTAAACCTTTAGGATGCAAATGGATCCTAAAGAAAAAATATAAAGCTGATGGATCGATTGATAAGTTTAAAGCACGTTTGGTGGTCAAAGGCTTTAAACAAAAGGAAGGGTATGATTTCTTTGATACCTATTCACCTGTTACGCGTTTAGCGTCGATAAGAGTGCTTCTCTCGATTGCTGCTTTGCACAATCTTGAGATTCACCAAAAGGATGTCAAGACGGCATTTTTGAATGGTGAATTGGAAGAAGAAATATACATGGAACAACCTGAAGGGTTTGTTGCACCTGGACAAGAGAGAAAGGTGTGTAGATTGATCAA